GAATAGCCGATCGATGTTTGGACGACACTACCCTTTCAGCCTTTTGCTAGTAGCAGTTCAGAGCCAAAAAAACAGTTTAAAATTTCCTGTGTGAGGAGACCCACTGACAGTGGGAACAGGCATATTCTTGGGTCAGTAGAGGCCGCATTTCCTTGATGCACTGGTCCTAATGTCGAGCAATGATGACTGATCGTTAAGACGCACTTCGTTCTTCAAATATGACACTAAAATGCAGATATTCATAGCAGTTAATAGTGCAGAATGAGCTCCGTCATCACCTTCACACCTTGATGGAAATCCCGCTTATAATCGGGTCGTGCCTGCCCTTCGCTGAATGAATGATACGTGTGCTTGTCATGTACACGCACGGTTTGAAGTGTCTCATTACCGTGTGCACTTGCGCAGAGGAACGGAAGTGCCTTCATTTCATAAGGAAACTCAAGATGGTGCTACCCTCGGAAACGACTGGAATAGCGTACCCGGAGTTTGGAGTATCTGTTAGACACACGTATGAACTTGAAGTTCTTTAAGACCAGTTTATCATTAAGAATTGGTCTTTAAGAAGACAAAACGTGGAGATACTGCATAAAGTTTCAACGATCATCATCAAAGGTTATAAATTACAGTAACTGTTAATTTATTGTCTGATAGTCAGTAGTGGCATTTCAGGTTGATGCTACGGTATGTTCACTGCTATGGCAAAAGTCTGATTCCTGCTAACAAGCAGGTCTGCATCAGCGGTTAAATGAATAACTCCGTGTATTGGAAATGAGCTTCGTGCAGATGACTGATTCCGGTGTTCACTGTTTGGACGCTGTTCTGGTAAGTAAACGCGTTTGATGTTATCTGTCGTGTCGTCTATTATTTTTGCAACGTAACACTGGGTGCAATATGTCACGAGGGCAGTTAACTGACTTTGCATTGCTTATCATTATCAATCACTCATATTCTGGATTAGAAGTATTCAGCAAGCGAACCATGGCCTTCGACAAGGCGAAGTCAAGCGATCACCAAGATAAGCACAGCCTTTCTTCTTAATTGTACTGTAAATGTTCATTTAATCAACCTACACATAGCGAAGGCCAGAATGATTCACATGTCAGCACAGACCATCCTAACTTCTCTGCACGTTACGAAGCAAGATTCTTCGGTCTAATATCTGTGAGGGACATCTGAGGTCAAAATGACGTTATCAAGCGTCAGTTGTTAACTATCGCTGTAGCTCGACTCCTCATCTCACGTCTACAATCAGCCTGCCGCGTCTTGCTTCAATATATTTTCAGGAAAATGTTCCAACTGCTCTATGAATAACGTACTTCTCGAGGTTATGCCAGTTTCTCCGTCCTCTTTCAGTCCTGTCGGGACAGTCAATTTTTCATTGCTAATAGTTGCAGTCTTGATCCCCTTAGGAGGGCATAGCCCGGAGGCAAACATCTCATTATGCTCAGAGCTCAGCAATGCCCTCAGTGCCTCACTATGGGTATCCAACTTAACATTTTTTCGTGCTGCGTCATCAATAAAATTTCGTGAAAGCTAGGAGAGCAACGAGAAATGAATTTTTTCCTCTCTATATTTTCTACGCCAACAGCTGCAGCCCAAAATTGCATTAGTCGTTCTGTGCATTATTTTATTGTGAAAAATGCTATTTCTTAAGAACATCGCCTCTTTAAATTACACGAAACATCGACATGTCATGTTTAAAATGCTTTAGATAGTAGCAATATAAAACAAAGAGCATTCAAGCAACATATCACCTGAGGATGTCAACTACAATTTAAATTTCGCAGGCTGGTTTCCAAGCAGGATACTTTTGCTGACTAAAGCAGTACGCAGCATCAACGTCACAGAGGCACAGTGTGTAGGCCAAGTCAGAATTTTCTTCTAAAAAATAGGACATTAAAAACAGATTTTTGACTCTTCACATGAAGGCTTTGCCTCACAGAACAGGATGGTTTGCGAGAGTTTGGAAAGATCTGACTATAAGATGAAAAGCATTACACCCATTTGGCAGTGTTTTGGGTTGTGATTTATTGATTGATATCAAAATATGGTAATAACTGGCGAAGTTGTGTCATTTTTAACTGACGGTTCAGTTTTCGAACAAGTGAATTGCCTTACTTTGTTAATGCGATATATGCATATAGCCTACACTTTCTGTTATGTTAAAAATTTTGACGCTTTTAGTATCCGCACGTTTTTTATGTAGCTCTGTAGCATTGTCATAATGCAACGGATTATCAGATTACTAGCCCCCTTATACAAACAAACAAAATTAACCGTTATAAAGTGTCACAAAAAATAGGTAGATCGAACTGGGCAATGTTTAAGCAACTGAAACTCTGCTAAACAAGAGAACGTGGCGTAATAGTAAAGACGGGCAAATAACTTCTTCCATAATAGTAATGTAATAATATACTAGGAGGAATTATATTTCTGTACAGTGGACTTCAGGCAGCAATAACTCAAACTGATACGTTAAGCAGTACAAATCATTGGTATCGAAAAGAATTTCATTTCATTCACTGAATTGACTTGACTTTCTGCATTTAGTGGACTTCTTCATTCGTAATTCAAAAAACGCAATAAGACTGTAGTATTTTTAAAACTAGGCCTGATTGCACATTTGTCAAATAATAGCAAATATAAACAAATAAATTTTTCTAAGTGCTATTGCACTCACTGCGATAGACAGTGTGTTTTCTAAAGCGTGATACCGGTAGAAGTCCGCCGTTGCCGGTCCCAAGATCGGATGAGAAAGAAGCAACGTTGGAAACCGTGGCGAGATCTCCGTATAACTTGGCCACCTCTCCTTATTGTATTACCGTCATCGAACATTATACCAGCTTGGTCGTCGCCTGGGGTACCAAGGGCCGGGCAGGCTATCAGGGGACTGTTTGCGATCAAACCCTACTCACTGCCTTCTGGCAACCTGCGATGGTTTGTGCACCTGTAGCGAATGGTTCCGGAAAGGAAGGCGAAGCATCTACTGCTTGCCCAGCTGACTGGTGAAAGAGCCAGGGGACGGCCAAACGTGTGAAATTTCCGCCATATCAGTTCAATATCATGATTTTTACTGTAAAATATTCAGCCACGGTATCGAAAGCTCCGCCCCCTCCAAGACATCGGGGTTCGATTTTGTCAAAGAAAAATCTACTTCCCACTTTGCAACAGCAGGTCCCCCTAGTCGTCTAGAAGCAAGAGACGATGCATTAGAGCTGCTGGTGTAAAGTGCAAAACAGACCTTTTCTTCTTTGCACTGCATTTTCGCCGTTTCAGTCCAGAATCATTATTTTTAATGTAGTATTAATTTTTGTTCAAAGCTATTGTTAGATCACTTTTCATGCATTCAAATTAGGTAGATAGTCAGAGACGTCATGCATTCCTCATAACAAAAATTATATCGTTACTCAGGTACGTTCAGGAACAGATGATGTCACGACTTCGGCTATGCGTCTTTTGGAAATGATCTTCATAGAGACGAAAGGAAAAGGAAAACAGCTCCATATTAGTTTATCACCTAGCAGGAAACGGAGTGTGAGGTCTACTGCCTTAATTCAGTGTTCTAACGAGATAATAAATTTCTTACCGCCACATCGTGCATGTCCATCGACACATTCGTAGGAGTAATGGGTGAAGTACGCCCAGAGTCTGTTTTGAGACAACGCTTGATAGCAGAGGTCGTGCGTCTGACAGCAGCTGTCGATTTCATCTACGGGATTCCCACTGCCACCCAGTCCACAGTAACATCCGTAGTTAAAGTAGAGCGACGCTGTGTTGCCGGTGACGCAGGTGACCACTCCTCGAAAATTCCAAAAGCTCCTAGTTGTTCTCTTCCGATCTACCAAAATGCATCAATGGATAAAATGCGCTACATTTAAACAAAACCCACGCACATCAAACCATATTTCGCTCGTTTTCTCGATCATGCCCTTATGACGAGTGAAAGGCTATACGTGATTGCACGTTCATACGGTACTTCCGGTCGCAGGGCAGCCACGATCGCTTATGTAGCAGTTCATTCAAACAATGCAATGGTTTGATGTGCTACCATAAATTCAGATCTTACCTATCAATTTTCTTGCCTCAGTACCAGTAGTATCATTCTGGCTTCCAGCTTGGTCTTAAAAGCAAACTTTCCTTAGTGTAACGAAAATCATATTCCCTCAAAATTTCCTTAGCCAAGACCTTCTTTCTTACCGAATTATTCCGTAGTTGTAAGAACATTTGTACATCAAGAATGAATTTGGAAGAACAATTATTATAAATGTGAGGATTTACACTCGACGTTTGTGCAGCCCAAGGCACCAACTTGGTTATTTTGTCAATGAGAAATACTCTGCTGACACCGTTGTAATAAGCAGTATGGCGTACTACTTCTTTATACTTTGGCTGCATACGCATGTGGAGCAAATGATTACGCTACAGTTTTTTAGTTCAAGGCCAAAAGTCGAAAATCATGCACAATTACGGTCGGGTCGAACTACCTCTAAAGAAGCAACTGTATTCAGACTGATTTTCGTATTATATATGATTCTTATGTCGAATCATGAGTCTTGGCTAATGACTGACAATTACAGGGTCATGGGAAAAAGATGCTAAAACTGATATCGTGAGGAGAAACGCAGAGGTAGTGGTTTTCGACAGAATTAGTGATGCAGTGATCTAGGAAACCTTTGAGCCGCCACTTCTCACGATGCACCGCACCTGGGCATGTCTAGCCAATGAGAGTAGAGCGTACGACCGAACGGCCACTCCTTCCGCGAACTGACCTGTATTAAACCTTGCGAAAGGTTCAGAATAAGTGCAAACGGGCTTCAGAACTGACTCGAGTGTCGATCGTTGAAAATCAGGCAGTGCACAAAGTCTTGAACGTTGGCGACAGTGTCTGATGGTGCAAACTTTCTGACTCGGAATGACAAGTGACGTCACAAACTGACTGGCTGACCAACTGACAAACCGGTGCATTTAGTATCTGGGCTTAGGCTTTGGGGTTGGAAATGAGTAAGGAGTACTCGTGACTAATGGTATCCAAATGAAAGTTTTGGAGGCCCGCAAAAGTGTAATGTAAAAAGATCCTAGAGAGTCTAAATGAGCTTGACATTCAGACAGTGGCGGATTTTCTTTTCTTTTCGTCATTCAGTAAAGTGCAGCATTGTAGCCGCAGTAGAGAGCAACTCGCATAGCTCAAATACCTCATTTCACAAGTGTTTAAAGAATAACAACATTGGTCACAGAAATTCCATGTGTTCCAAGGAATGGGTTTGACCTTCTTTGACAGGTTTGTTGCCAGATAGCGTTCCTACCTCATATACCAGAGCTTGCAAGGCCAAGAACAAGGAAGCATGTATAACTTAGTAATCAGCTACCGCTAGAAGCGTGATTTCCAGCGGAAAGAGCGTTAGCCTTAGACGGCTTACATCTCAATGGTGTTATTGATGGACAGCGACTGTTCGTGGCGTGAGCCTAAGTTGTCAAGCGAAGTATTTAGCCTACAGCTGCTCTGACATGCCCCCCCCCCTCTTCGTGGCAAGTGAAACACGACGTGAGGCAACTGAATTACTGTGTAGAGCATTTCATTTCTAGGCATTTTTAGCATTTCAGTTCACCCTTGTTCACTGAGCGTTTTCACCCTGAAAAGAACGCTTATAAAAGAAGTTTCTACTTACATCGTGCACTGACGGAAACGCCTAAAATCACGAAGAACACCAGCTCCAGCAACGTTGACATTTTGGCCGACAGCCGAACCGATTGTTCACATGATTTTAAGCGTCTCGTCCTTCAGGCCGACGCACATCAGACGTCACGAACTCATTCATAACGAAACATCTGTAATCGTTCCATATTTTCGTCATACTTCGAGTACACATCAAACAGTTGCGAGTACACATCAAACCATCGTCTCGTTTGAACTGATCACTGGTCAAAATGCTGGCGACCGCCAGAACACTTTACGGTGCATCAGAACTGGAAGAAAGAATGATTGCACTCTTGGTTGCCAAATTGCCATTTCACTTCAGAATACAACCGATGCGTCAAAGTAGCTTGACGTGGAACCCTCCATTTTACGGTTGCCATTAATTAGGGCGTAGTCAACACTGGTCGCAAACCTGTGTTTATGCAGATGATGTATTGCATACGGCGACATCATCAACAGAATTGCAGAAGCGGGTCGAAAAGCCCAACAAGTGCAGCAAATCTTCGGCCTTAAACTTAAGCGCCGATGGTCGTGTAATGGCAGTAGCCAAAACCCTCCTTACGGTCGATGAGCATGAACCGCAGTTAAGCCACCTCTTTCGGCTATGGTAACTCCTTCCTGGAAGAGAAAGATTAGTGTGAGACAAAATATCATAACGTCTGAAATGTTGCAGTGACGGTTTCCTCTGGAATCATGGAACTGATGATAAAAACTCTAGAAACTAGCGCTCTCTCTGAGACTTAATTCAATAAATGCTAAAAACTTTTAATAATTTCTTAAGCGTCTACCGGCAGAGTGACGTCGATGAGTGAGAGGAGTATTTTCTTCCATTTTCAGAAATAACAGCAGCAACATGAGAAATTTACTTGGCGAAACATAGCATTCGCTCACTAAATATCAGTCATCTTCAAAGTAATGACTGAACGGAACAAATAATAGAAAGCCAGTTAAATGTTGACCTTAATAGGTAAGGTGTTATTGCTGTCGGCATAAAGGGCAGCAAATTGGGCCTCATGTTTCAGAAATGCTTCCGCTGCAAGGCCAAAGTCTATTGACAACGAAGTAACCGGCTTTTTACTGCAAATCACAGAGGAATGAGAATATTCATCGTTTTTAACCCGTACACAAAACAGGTTAAATGTATTTGAAGCATCAAAATATGTTCGTCTATTTGTGGACCTTCTAGGCAGAGTCGGGATTCGTACACTGACGAATGTACACTGAGCTTTCAGATGAACAGCATGTAATGAAAAAATCAGAAATTCAGAACAGTTAATTCAGTCTCTTATTTGGGTGATCCTGGGATTGCGGCAGTTGTACCTCAAGTTGCAGTGCAAGTAGATGAACATGAAAGATTATTTCTGCAACCTCAGCAAAATCGTCCTGTTTAGCTACGCTACCTCAAACATCATATTCCTCACTTTTATGAGTTTGATTCCGTAAGGCAGATCCGGGCTTTATATGGTATTGCGGCATGTGTACGGTCGGTGAACAACTGCTGCAGAATGTCTGATCGAGCGAAGGTCTATGAATGCTCAGCTTGTGCATTTCCCGTGTTGAAAATCCGCATGAATATCCTTTTAATTCGTAGCTCAGTGGGAAATGCTGAATCCAAGCCATGAGCTATTTATCACATTATTTCCTA